TAATGCTGCGCACACTCAATATTTGTTTTGAGATACCAGATTTGCGGAGAAAATGTTTTTTTTCCAGTTTCCCCATAGGATGCCAGCAGGACTAACAGGTGAACACATTTTCACAGATGAACATAGCATGCTGTGTGTTATAGCAGGTTCTCCAATTTCTATTTTTGTATTTAAAAACCACGTACAATATTTTTTTAACTAGTAATTTCCCTCCACCCCACCCCCAAAATCAGAACCTGGAGAATGGCTTTCTGCAGAGGCACTGTCTGTGTGGATGGCAAAAGGAAAGAAAAAGGTACTTTGTGTTCCTGAAAAATGTCTCATCCTGGCCAACAAAACAGCAGCATAATGGGGCTGCCAAAGGCCTTTCTGTCTAATTTTCACTGGTATATTGGGAGACCCTAAAGAGAGGCCTAAAAGATGGGTACTGAAATTCATATTGCAGGGAGTTCTCAGGGCTCTCACAAGGACAGAAGTTGCCTGAATGGATTCAAAGGTAACTTTTCTAAGGTCACAAGACTAGGTAGCTTTAGATGACTAAACTTAAAGTTTGTAAGCTGTTTTCCACTAATACCCCTTGCAGCTAAGAAAAGTCAGCATGGTTCTCTAGCAAGACTGGCCCTTAACTAAGCTCCCTGGCCTTAGACCAGGCTTGCACATGCGGCCCTCAGGGGCTCACTGTACAGCCCATGACAACTATGGGTGGTGCGGCCCCATCCAATCCGCCGGCCAGGCAGAGGAGGGACAGGCTGCCGGGGAGGGGGAAGTGCGGCAATTCTTGCCGCCGGGCTGCCTGTGTGTAGCTCCAGCGCGAGGAGGCGAGCCAGAAGGCGGGACTCCAGCAGATGCTGGTGTGACGTCACAGCCAGCAACCGCCGGATTCAAAAAGGCAGAAGCCAGGTAGGGGAGGGAGAAGGGACTTGTGCAAAGGGGAGTGGGGCAGCTCAGGAGAAATGGGAAGACACCAAGGGGCAGGATGAAGGAAACAAATGCCAGGGGGCCAAGTGGAGAGACCCTTTTTTTTTTTTTTGGCTCAACAAACATTTTTAGCCACGTTTGGTATTTTTTGGGAGAGCATCCCTACTTGCGGCCCGCAGCTATTTCCTTTGGAGTAACAGGGCCATCGTCGCTTTCTGAGTTGTACAGCCTGCCTTAAACAGTCTTTGGTCAAAACATCAATGGATGTTCTCCCTAGAAATCCAGATCAATGACGCCTATTGTTTCTGTATTATCCATTCAAAGTGTTCAGGCAGGCGCTGAATTTGGCGACATACATAACAGCTGTGCTTGTCATTTGCTTTACACGTTATTTTGTGCTTATTGCAGAGACTGTTGCAAACTGTTTTGCACAGGACCTTTTGGCAAGTACCTCTTGGAACTTCTGTAGAAGCCAGTCAGGATAAAGCAAAGGGACTGGTAAAATATTCACGTATACTTAGGTTAAATTGTGTAATGGAGCTACCCTGAAATATTGCACATTTACTATATCATCTGTTACCTTCTGAGGGAATATGTCTACACTACAGTTTTGTTGGAAAACCAGCTGTTTTTCCAACAAAACTTGAGCAAGGTCCACAGTGCAATTGCATTCTTTCACAAGAAAGTCAAAAGAATAGAGGGGTTTTTCCAGTATTGATAATCCTCATTCTTTGAGGAAGAAGCCTTTTTGTGAAAGAGGTCTTTTGCAAAAAGGCACGTATGGACGGGGAAAAGGGAGTTCTTTGGGATGGAGAGGAAAGAGGAAAAAGCACAGGTGCCCTGGTGGCCATTCTGTCGATAACAATCACATGTGAGAAGGTCCATTCGGTCTGGATGCTCTCTTTTAAAAAAGCAGACTGCTTTTTCAATGCACTTTTGCAGTGTGGGCGCTCTTTCAGAAGAAGTTTTTTCAGAAGACCTTGTCCAAAAAAAGCTTCTTCCGAAAGAAGCCTGTAGTCTGGACATAGCCTTGTTTTCAGAAGATTCTTTACAATACAAAAATCAGATATACAAGTCTTGTACCTCTCAAAAAACCTACCCCAATACCCTATCCACAGTGCCTGTCTTTACTCTTACATGATAGATGGTACTCACTGTTGTCTCACTCAACAGCTCTGTATTATATAAGTAAACTACAGTTAAAGCTTCAGATCTAAAGCAATTGGGTCAAAATAGGGTATTGATACCAATAACTAACCTGCCCAATAGAAGAAGCAATCATTAAAAATAGTTTACGGTGTATGTAATCAATATGTTCAGCTAGGGTTGTGAATGGTTAATTGGTAAGCATCATCCTTAATGGGTGATGCTTGCTGGTTACAGTTACACAGCAGAGCTGGAGCTGTTCACCACCTGGCTGCAGGGCTGGAACAGCCCCTCACCTGTCCCTGTTTAAGCAGTTAACCAGATAAATGTTACATTTAACTGGTTAACGGATTTAATGGGATTTTATATCCCTATCTTCAACCCACTTCTAAATGCTCACTGAACCAAGAAAGCACATCTAGTCCAGAGGATACACCTCATGGCTCTGCATCAGTCCAAGCTTTCCTTAAAGAACCCTCCTTTAGATAAGTATAACTACTCATACCATTAAGTGATTGGTAAGGGTCAAAACTGAATAAAACATTCATCCAAAGGCTTAACTTCCATGAACACAAGGAAGCATTTTCAGCTCCTGTACAAATAAGAGAAATTTGCTTTTTTGGATCCTCTTTTCTAAGCACCAGTGAATGCTTTCGTTCAGCTGTAACAAGTCAGTCAAACCAATCTGTGTTCAAAATCAGCAAAACAGCAATGCATGTTTGTTTCCTCAAAGCACAAAGATTTGCTAGGAGGATTATGTATAAGCTGTTTTAAACACTAATGCGAAGTTACAAAGTCCAAATCATTAGACTTACACTTCATCTGATACGTCTCCCTACTGGAACACAGGGTGCCATGTTCCTTCAAGCAACAAGTTGGGTCCCTGCTCAAACAGTCACCCATCGATGCTTCTATCTCTAATCTTTTCTTAAAATTATTGTTCCCCACTGGGATAAGGATGAGAGCAAGCCACCTGATGTTTAAGCTAGTTAATCAGCTAGATAAAAAGCTTGAGGGAGGATCTTGAGTTTATAGTGGAAAGGAGTGAAAATTTCTTTTAGCCATCTTGTGTACAAATTAGCTGCAGCATGTACATCTAAAGATGCCTAGCTCTGAGACACTGATGCATCTACTCACCACAAGAGTATCCTTGAAAAAAATAATAAAAACTGAAAAGTTTTCTTTAAATACACAATCCCTCTATTCTCCTGGTCAGACTTTCAAGAAACACCTTACTGACAAAGGAAGAAGCACATTTCAAAGAACGTGATCACTATTAATTGGGGGAGTTTAATGCATATTTAATTAGATCGTTGTGGGCAGTGACTCCTTTGTCAACTGTCATGTTTAATGGAAGGGCAGAAAAAGTTTCTGAAGGTCAATTTCCAGATTATTTTGTCTTGTCAAATCTGCTGCCTCCGGAAAAGAGGTTTCTGCATGACTGAGGAGAATGGATGTCTCAGATTAACATAGTTGCTTTCTGTGTGGATACTCAGCTGGCAACCATGAGGGGCAGATTGTGTTCTCTGAGATGGCTGGTACTAGGAGGTTTTTTGATAGAATACTGGAATATAAACACAAAACATTTAACAGTGGCGCTGAAAACATTGAGGGGTTGCAGGAAGAAAGCACATCTTTCCACTCCAAAGAATTACACTACACAAATGGAGCTTGATCATTTATTATATGAAATTAGAAGTTGGCCGAGGAGATCCTTATCTTTTGAAGACCCCTTGGTAGATCTTGCCTGGTCTCTCACTGCAGAGATGAGCAATCCCGTGACATATGTATATAGAAATGATAGCACTTTTACACATGCTATTCAGTAGGGAGAAATGAGCCAGCATGTGCCACCACAGACTTTTGCTGGATCTAGAATTGACTGGAAAGGCAATTCTTGTGGGTGCATGAGAGGGACTCCACTCCAGGATCTGTAAGAAAGTTGGCCCTAATAAAATCAATGTGGCCATGGCCAAAGATTGCACTGGTACTAATAAGCTACAATCTGGCCCTTCCATTGCCAGTCCTGTCAAGCGCTACAGAATATCCTTGGCATACAGTCTCTCTCAGGCAAGGGTTCCCTGCTCAAGATTGGGGAGAAGGAATGACATGACAACTAGCAGATGACAACTAGCAATGGAGGCACTAATGGATGCCATTCCAGGGCTTATTGTAGGACTGATGCCAGTACTGGTTTAAGTGACAAAAAGTAAAAGCAGCTCAAAGACATAATAGCCATTCTGGGTCAGACCAAAGGCCCATCTAGCCCAGGATCCTGTCTTCAGACAGTAGTCAGTGCAGTAGTCAAGGTACCTCGGAGGGAGTGAACAGAACAGCTAATCATTAAATGCTCGATCCCCTGTCACCCATTCCCTGGCAAACAGTTGCCCTTCCATCCTGGCTAAATGTCATTGATGGACCTATTCTCTGTGAATTTATCTAGCTATTTTTAAACCCTATTAAAGATATGGCCTTCACAACCTCCTCTGGCAAGGAGTTCCACAGGTTGACTATGCACTGGGTGAAGAGATACTTCATTTTGTTTGTTTTAAACCTGCTACCTATTAATTTTATTTGGTGACCTCCTAGTTTTTGTGTTATCGGAGCAAGTAAATAACTTTTCCTTATTTACTTTCTTCACACAAGTCATGATTTTATAGACCTCTATCATATCCCCCCTTAGAAATCTTTTCCAAGTCGTCCCAGGCTTATATGAGGAGAGATTAATGACAGCCATTCCATACCCTAACATTCCTGTGGCCTTTTTCTGAACTTTTTCCAATACCAATATATCTTTTTATGAGATGAGGCGACCACATTTGCATGCAGTAGCAAGATGTGGGCATACCATGGATTTATAAAGAGGCAATAAGATATTCTCTCATTCTCTATCCCTTTTTAAGTGATTCCTAACATTACTGCGGCATCGAACTCACCTTGTGTGATGACCGTGTTGAGCAATGAGCTGCACTGGGACTATGTTCAGGAGCATTGTTCAGCCTCAGAAGATGGCACCAGTCTCTGCAGATATCAGCACCAATGTATTCAGGCATACGTGGTATTGAGAATCTCTGTGCTAGTAACAACCCCCTCAGGTTTCGTGTCTGTGCTGGAACCAGAGGCGTGTTGTCTAGTAGCAGCACTTGCTGAAAACCGTCATCTTGGTTCCAGCTGTTACTCTTGTGGACTGCTCTCAGCTGAACAACGTGACATTGTTTCTTGGCATTTCCAGGTACGGGACAAGGAACAGCATCAGATGCATGTATTGTGAATGTGTTTTTCTGAGCCAGAAAGAGGATCTCCTGCATCCATTGACTAAGAGGACTAGGCCATCACAAGAAGGAAATGGGATAAACCCGGTAGTTTTACAGACCACAGTTGCTAACAGTTGGGTCTCTCCTTCCTTATGTGTATGTGGGGCGGAACACCCAACAAAACTTACTAAAAACCAAACAAACTTAGAACAAAAAAAAGAGAAGTGGTCTGACAGTCCAGATTCTGTCTTACTCCCATTGGCAATAAAACAGAACTTAGGAAAGTTTAGGCTCTCACACGGAGGCACATATCCTGCCTGCTGGATATGGCTATTCAAAGATTCTGAGCTTGCAAACGTAATGCATATACACGGCCTACAGCAGGATCCACAATGTACTCAAAGCACTCCAGTGGGTAAGTGTTCAGACTGATGTTTTAAGCATTTTTGTTGTAGTGGCAAGATGTTAGCATGCCTCTGTCAATTATGAATGTTCTAATTTAGAGCTGGCTGATCCTGTGTCTGGAACCAATCAGACCACTTTGCCACACAAATAACAGTCACCTTTAAAAATGTAGAGAGGCTTTAACAAACCCTGTCAGAAGACACATGGCAGCAGCTATTCCCCAAACCCTGCTATTCAGGCTGTCCTTAGGGAGGCCTGGGGCCACTCCCTCACCACAAGTCTCACCCCCATTCCACCCCCAAGTCCTGCCCTTGCTCCACCTGCTTCCCAAAGCCCCCTCCCCAAGCAACATGAGTCATAGGATTACTGGAGGGCTTAGTGCAGAGGTCACCCAGCTTCTGCCACCACGATGAGGGGGAAGCAACCCAGCAACCTGTTCCAAACACCCGCCCTCTGTGTCCACTGTGTTCTGTTTCACCGCCGCCATGGTGAGGTAGAATGCAGTAGACTGGGATAGGGTGGTGGGGAGGGGTGCAGGACAGCGGAGCAGGCTACCAGGTAGCTCCGACTCCCACCATTGCAACGACGGTTGTGTGTGTGACCCCTGCTGCTGTCCCGTACCAGCCCCCTGGTAATCCCCCAGGCTGCCTTGGGCCCCATCCACAGGGCAGTTGAGGCAGCTCCCATGACCTCCCCCAACACTGTGCAGGATCTAGAGCAGCCACCCCAAACCATCATATGGTCAGAACAGGACAGCTCTGCCTGCTGTTCCCATCAAGTGAAGTTTATACCTTACAGCAGGGCTACTCAACTTCAGAAGCCCCAGAGGCCACAACGATTCTCACAGCACATACTGAGGGCTGCAACTTAAGTGTGGTTGCAAATATATATCAAATATATGCAAATAGCTTCTTTCACACTGACAGGCACGAATACAGAGATGAAGGCAAGACTACACAACACGCAGGCCCCATTTAAGTCAGTTCTGCTGCTATTAATAAAATGCAAGATTTACCCCATTTCTACCAGCATGACAGCACTTTTAATGAGCAATGACAGGCCAGAAATGTAACTCCTAAAACACATCTCAACAGAAGACCATTCTATTGACTCGCCGTTGTCACATTTTTCCAGTGGAGGCCATGTTCAAAAGATCCCCCCATGGACTTGCATGTTGAGTAGCCCTGTCTTACAGGATCACAAAAGATCCTTCCACAGAAAAAAACCTGAAGAAGGATATAGGATAAATTTCCTGAGTTCAGACACAGGAAGCTTGACTTTGTTTTATTTTTCCCATTTCCTCATAAAGCAGCACATATAATATTTAATGAGAGGTTGCTTTCCATTTAATGAAAGTTTGTCAAAGCCTATTTAGAAGTGACAATGTCCACAACATCTGCAGATGATTATAATACATCAGGAAAATAACATTGTCTGGCCCCAATTCTGCCAGTGTTTGAAGAGAAAAATCAAAACCATATGCCTAATCCTAGCTTAGTCTCAAGTGCTCTATTCTTTATAAGGTAAGTTATTGTTATATTTTTAAAGGCCCGTGAATTAGTTTCCACTAATTGGACTTCTTGGGCTTCCCAGTGTGATTTTTTTTAAACTCCCATCTCTCATAAGCTATGCTAGTTTTAAGTCTGTATTAAAACAGCATTCAAGTCTCTTCCAACAATTTGTAACAACTAGGATTAGGGATGTTAGGTATCATGTAATTGAATAGTTGTGTAACCACATGAAATCTTAGTCGACTCTTCAATAGTCCCTGAAGGCGGGGCCAGTATCTGATAAGGGGGGAGGCGTGCCTAGGCTTATCAGGTTAACTGTATAGTCGACTAAACGTTAGCATATGTAACTAGGATATGTTATTTCTTTAAAAGTATTTTTAAACTAGGAAGGGAAGGAGAAATGGGAAGGAAGAGACTATGCAAAAAAGTTAGCAGGTGGATTCAGGGGCTGGTATAGTATCTGAAATTAGTCTTTGAAGCAGAATGGATTTCAAGGTGATAATTTAATATAGGAGGTTTCTGGGGGCACGGCCATGAGAGTCAAATCGCTTAGAGACAGGGATACTTACAGTCTAAGACTATAGATCCTCCACTATAAGGCATACAAAGAGCATTTCTGTTTACCACTGGAGTCATACAAGAAATTCCCTTCCGACTCTCCAGTTCTCCTGTGCCAACACCAGTACCACTCTTTATACAGATGAGAAGTTATGAAAACCAAACAAATCAGAACTGGTTCTTCTGATCACAAAGGACAAGCCACATTCTCAAGTCAATTTTAACTCTGACCTAATCCAACAAGCACGCTATAGCCAATCCTTTAGAATCTAACATTTAAAGGTTTAATTCATAAGAAGAGTGAGTTAAAATTGTTAACGGAATCAGAATACATACACGGATTGCAAATTTCTTGGTGCAAGCTTTTAAGCAAAGATAGAATGATCTGTCTTAAATCAAGGTTCTGGAGTTCATCCTCTGTTAGGATGGGTCATCAGTCCTTTCAAGCTTTAGTTCATACCAGAGATCCTTCAGGAGGTGATGAGCTGGACTGAAGACAAATGGAGGGAACTCTCAGGGCCCTTTTTATAACCTTGGAAGGACTCATTGTTCTGGCTGTGTAAAAATTAGGGATGTGAATGGTTAACCAGTTACCCAGTAAGCATCAGCCAATACTCAGCGGGTACCAGTTAACCAGCACCCAGGAGTAGCCTCCCACCAGCAGAGCACTGCTACAGGCCCACAGGGGTCAGAAGCTGCCTCTACCTCCCTGCACAATGGGATGGAGAGTAGATGCTAGCAGCCCTAAACATGCGAGGAGGTGTGGGTCCCGATTTCTGCTTTGTGCCTTCTCCACTCCACGTGAGGTGCTGATGGCTGCTGGCAGCCCAAAGTGCCAGGGAGCAGAAGCTGCCCCCACCCTCCGTGCAGGATCCCACTTATTCGATTAACCAGTTAAATCTCAGGTTTAACTGGGATTTTACATCCCTAGTAAAAGTATGTCCCAAGATGGAGTTTCTCATGGGACACCCCTGTCTGTGCATAATTGTCCTTTTTATACAGCAGTCATTGCTCCCATGCTGGTATGAATGTTCACAGAGAAGTTCATCAGATGTGGAATGGCACCTCGCAAGGGGCATTGTCAGTCAAGTACTTCTACTCACTTGACTAATAGTCCTTTTACAATAGGCTGGCCCAGCCTCTGTTGATCTCTGCCAGAAGTAAATACTCAACTTCAAATACAAAAATGATATGCGCATATGACTAATATAAAGAAATCAGTGAATCAAGCTTTTCATAGTCATATTATTTAGCATATTTTGTACAAGATTTGGTGCAAACAGAACAGTAGTTGCAACAACTATCTGTATGTTCATTACAATCCAACTTTGCAAATAGCATCTCTATTTTTTTCTGGCTCCTTGCTTATATATTTGCACAGTGCTAAATAGAATTTTTTCCCCAGAACAGTTTGTAAATTTCTCCATTTCAACGTGTGTATAGTTTGCAACTACATTCACTAGACTAGTGATTAAGATTCTTTGGGGAGTGTACAAGTTGAGCTGTTACCCTTCTAAGTTACAATATACACAAATGGATTTTCTGTACAAACCACTCCCCTTTTACCAACCTTTATGTAAGATAACTCGGGTCAAATCAAATCTCAGTTTTGAGCTTCCCTACAAAACCTGATTTGCTCCTAAGGTTTCTGTCTGACATCCACTGTCCTGGCTCCCTAGAGCTTCCTCTGATCTAAAGAAACACACCCAACCCCTTTATATATTTATGGGGGTTGGATCTAAATGAATCCACCTGCCAGCATGATTGATTAACCTGAATCCTAATCCAGAGGTTCAGCACAAGACTATGGCATGTCAACAGGAGAACCCCTCTTTTTTATCATCCTACTCTATCATCTTGTGCGGTGAGACAGAGAGAATAATGCCTGCTACAAATTGTATTCAAAGTAAAATGTTTGTTCATTTTTTCAGTGAAAATGAAAGGAGAGACTAAATCTGACCCATTTCTCCTATCCAAGAAAACTTCCATCAACATTTGGTCACTTATTGACCAAAAGGCAATGATTGTTGAAACCACTGTGCAATAAGAAAAGCTGTACAAGGCAAGCTTAGGCCAGGTCTATTCCTCTCAGTAATCTGAGCACATTAATGCTTTGGAGATAGAATCTTTCAGAAATTAAAGCAATTTATTAAAAGCTCTCTTAAGCTTATACCGAACACATAAGTAAACTGAATCAATAGGGAGACTCACTAAAACTGGAAAACTACTTCACCTCCAGGTGAGAAGTTTTAAAATGAGATGTTATCAAAGGAAGTGGAAGATGATGTCAAACACGTACCATGGTAGTCCCTGGGAAATTTAGGGAGGCTTTAATAACTCTTTATTATACCTAGTTTTCTAAAAATATGAACTTTTAAGCAGTTTCATGTAAATAAGTTACTTAATTACCTTTAAATAATGACATGATGGAGTCTTTAATCTCAGTTAAAAATCCTGGCTAGCACTCTTATAATACATAAGTTGTATAATAGAGCTACCTCCCATACTAGTTCTATGACTCACTGTAAATTTCAAGGTTCATTATTAATTTTAAAAGCAAGATAACTGGTTGGCCCTAGCTTTTCAAGCAACGCT